ACAATGCTGCTGTGCAGCCGCGGTGAGGAGGAGAGGGCAGGGGGAGGAGGAAGGAATTTGCAAGCGCGATTTTCTTTTTATTCCCTTTTAAATGCACATCCTTTTCAAGCCTCTGTCACGTGTCTACAGTGCTCCTTCTGCTCTACATATGGAATAAATACCTCGGAAAACTGTCTCGTCCTGTTTTGGTTGGGTCTTTTCTTTCTTTTAGTTCGTTTTGTTTTGTTCAGGGTTCTGGGGTGTTTTTTGTGTGTTGGGGGTATTTTTTTGTTTATTTGTTCTATTGTGGGTTTGGGAGATTTTTTTTTTTGTTTGGTTGTTTGGGGTTTTTTTGAGGGAGGGAGGGATCATCTGTTTGTTTTTTAAACTGCGCTTCCAAATGGGCCGTAGTAGCTGCGGGTTATGAACCGGACAAATAAAAGGAAACAGTCTAGTAAAAGTCACGGCAAGGCGCACGTGCTGTGTCTGGGTCACTGGTGGCCGCCACTGATCCGTCTGGGTGTCCCTCCCGCCCCCCGCCCCGCAGCTGGGAACTGCTGGCTCCGGCAGGCGCGGAACGGGCGCTGCCAGGTCCTCTACAAAACCGACCTCAGCAAGGAGGAGTGCTGCAAGAGCGGCCGCCTGACCACGTCCTGGACGGCGGAGGACGTCAACGACAACACGCTTTTTAAGTGGATGATTTTTAATGGGGGAGCCCCAAACTGCATCCCGTGCAAAGGTGAGGGGGGTGCTGGCGAGCTGCTCCGACCTGAGGAGCGGCTCAGGCAGGGGCTGAGCTGGGGGGAGGAGGAGCAGGGAGAGAACTGCTCCGGAGGGGAAGGGGGCAGTGCGGTCCTGTCGCTTCCTTCCTCGGTGGGGCTTTAAGGGCGTCTCGTACCAGCCTCGGGATCGGGAAGGGGACTCCCATTTCTGCCCGTCGGCCCTGCATATCGCGAGGAGGAGAGGAGTCACTTCTTCCCGCTGCCCTCACTGGAGGGGGGGATTTAGCTCGAGTGGTGTTTTCTGGATGGGGGTGGGGAAAGGTGTTCTCTCTCTGTCCTCTGGGTTCACGGTGTCTTTTTTCCCTTTAAGCAGTTTTGACACCAGGTCTGTTCTGCACGCTAGGTACTAAAGTGGTGCCTCTTTCCTTCCATCAGAAACATGTGAGAATGTGGACTGCGGACCTGGGAAGAAATGTAAAATGAATAAGAAGAACAAACCTCGGTGTGTTTGTGCTCCGGATTGCTCTAATATCACTTGGAAGGGCCCCGTGTGTGGCTTAGATGGGAAAACCTACAGGAACGAGTGTGCCCTTCTCAAAGCCAGATGTAAAGAACAGCCCGAACTTGAAGTCCAGTATCAGGGCAAATGCAAAAGTAGGTTTGCATATCTAATCCAATCTCCCTCAAACGCCAAAGGGTGTGTGTCTGAGTGTATGGAGGAGGAGATGTTGCCTGTACCTCCCCACAGGAACCAGAGTGATGTTCCAAAGATTAGGAGACAGTAATTAGACCACACAAGGATGTAATGAATTGAGAGTTCCCATGGTCTATCAGCATTTGTGTCCCACCGGCTACCCTGAGATGGGAAGGCTTCCTCCAGTGGTCCTTAAATGAGAGCTGCAAAGGCTTTTATGTGATCATGTGTTTCGTTGTGTCACCTATTTACTCCTCATTGGGAGTATGGTATCTTTTACTAATCGTTATGTGTTTCTATCTGTATTTCAGAGACCTGCAGGGATGTTTTGTGCCCAGGCAGCTCCACGTGTGTGGTTGACCAAACCAACAATGCCTACTGCGTGACATGTAATCGAATTTGCCCAGAGCCTACCTCCCCTGAACAGTATCTCTGTGGGAACGACGGTATAACTTACGCCAGTGCCTGCCACCTGAGGAAAGCCACCTGCTTGCTGGGTAGATCCATTGGATTAGCCTACGAAGGAAAATGCATCAGTACGTATTCAGTGTGCACAATTGGATGAATGTACTTAGTGGTGGTGAGGAAGAAAGACTTCTAGCAATCTGGGTTAGTACTATCCTTTAGGAAGAGGAGAGAGTGTTTAATTTTGTCCTGGAAAAGATGGCAACGTCCTGCTATGGTTATGGGTGCTGACATTAGTATCCAAGGGAGAAGCAGCTGCTATGAAATAGATGACACGGTTACAGTATAACAAGGTCTCAGTATCCAGTGGGTCTGAATTCCTGGAAACAATTGTCTTGAAGTGGTCTTGGCAAAGATTATGTTAACTTAATTGGAAACATCTGATCACTTTTTCCTCTTTAGAAATAATTATGGAGTATAGAGACAGTTGGTGGGTGAAGATAGGAAAATAATCTCTATGTAACCCTGACATTCTGTGTTATGATTTCCAGAAAAGGCTGATAGTGCACTGTGTTACAATGAAGCACCTGCAGGGCAGCCTCTACTCCCCAAAACTGCTGGGGTAATTCAGAGGAGTCTCAGGTTGCTTTTAATTGGCTTAGGTTGAGGTGAATTCCCTTTCAAATCCTGTAGACAACTATTCTCTGCAGGTTAGTTTAAAAATAATAGATTTAGAAACACTGGACCCGTTGACAAATCCTAAATTTACCTCTAATTTGGGGAGCTGAATATCCACTGACATCAAATGGAGGAGGAAAGTCATGTACGATAGGCAAATGTAATTCTGTATTCCCAGGGCCAAACTTTGCTGGCACAGCTGTCTTTCCTCCCCCACATATAGACAGGTAATGTTGTCCAAGGGATTACTTGCTTGAGCAAAATCAGCAAGTTCATCACATGTACTGCATCTGAGCTTTGTTTCTTCACAGTTCACAGGGGAAAGGGGGTTTTTGGGGTTGCTTGTCATTGTGTTTTGGTTTTTTTTTTTTTTTTTTTGTCTTTTCACTTACCCCTAGTATCCTGTGTGTATTTTTAGAAGCAAAATCCTGTGAAGACATTCAGTGCACTGCTGGGAAGAAATGCCTGTGGGATTTTAAGGTTGGTAGAGGTCGGTGCGCTCTCTGCGATGAGCTCTGCCCCGAAAGCAAGTCAGAAGAGGCAGTCTGTGCCAGTGATAACACAACTTACCCAAGCGAGTGTGCCATGAAAGAGGCAGCCTGCTCAATGGGTGTGCTTCTAGAAGTAAAGCACTCTGGATCTTGCAACTGTAAGTGAGATTTTTAACTCTGCAGGCACTTAAAGCTTCTGAAGGCGATACCTAGGTAATGAAGACTTACACCTTTAAACATAAGAAAGCTTGATTTATTGATTCAAGGTACAGTAGAGTATAAGTATCTATCTATCACGCACACACTTGTTGCTGATAAAATGCAATAGATCTCCAACAACGAGCTGGCCTTCAAGTTGGAGTTTTGGGGATGTTCCAAGGACAAGCCATTCTATCAGAAAGGTGTTGCCCGAGGATTGTAATTCTAGTGACTTTTTCGTACTTTGTCTGCTCTCGTGTGCTTTGCTGATTGCTTTATTAACATCCGGATAAACTCTTAACTCGGTCCAAAAGAACAAGCTTAAAGGTAGCGCAGGGGCGCCTGGTTTAGCACAGTTGCCTCTACTAACTCTGAATGAAGGACACAAAGCAATTAAACCTAGAACACCTGAGCGCTCTGTATTTGATTTCAGGAATCTGCCAATAAAACCTGAGCCATTGATTCTTCAGAACTTTCTGCAGTTATGACTTCATAGATTACATATAAAAACCCTTATTTCATAACAGCAGATGCCAAAGAGCATCTCACTACAAGTCGCATAAAATGCAACGCTGTATTATGGCTGTTCAGAGGGCTTTGAAAACATGCACTGAGCTGCTTCTGCGCTGTTGTTGTCCTTATTTAAACAACAGCTCCCCTGTATTCCCCCATCTAGCCATTAATGAAGACCCAGAAGATGAAGAGGAAGATGAAGACCAGGACTACAGCTTTCCTATATCTTCCATTCTAGAGTGGTAAAACCTCCATCACAATTGAAACAGCCATTGGGCACAAAATCAATGTCCATACTGTAAATAAGTGTATGCTTATTTATTTTGGGGAGAAAAAAAAAAAAGTATACATATAGTTGAGTCTCGTAGACATTTATTTATACTGTGTCATGTTTTATAATTTATACATAAAATGTCTGGTTGACTGTACACCTTGTTTTTTGAAGAAATTTATTCGTTACGGGAAGAGCAGTGTTATTTATTGTGAGGTCTCTTGCTTGTAAAGTAAAGCTTTTCTTTTTCTTGTAAACTACAACTATTCCTTAGAGCCTACCCATGTGATCTCATCTCTTTGTTTCACTGATGTTAAACTCCACTTTAACAAACTTGCATGTCAGTTTCTGTTATGTTTATTTATTGGATTTTCTTCTTGCCGGTTCTGTACATTAAAGATCCCTGTGTTTTTGTTTACAAGGAATCTTGACTGACCAAAAGGCATTGTAACTGACTTAAGTATACTTTCAGGGTGCAGTGGGGCTAATTTTAAGGAAACTTCTTCCCCTTAATTTTTCTCTACTTCTGATCACATGTGCTGAAGTGATCTCAGTGTATTGAGAGTTTATAAAAATTCCATATCTGAAGATCTTGGATTATGACAGTTGATAACAGCTATGGGGATAATTGTAATAAGGGTTTTATTTTATTTTTATTGATGGTTTTGTTTGTTTGTTTGTTTGTTTGTTGTTTTGGTTGTTTTTTTTTTCTTTGTTAACACGCGTAAGTGTTTTATCAGGTGTTTCCTTTAAGATGGTCTTGCATTACCACTTTCAAAGTTTTCTTTTCCCAACCGGTGTGTTGCTAAAAGTTATATCAAAGCTTTATCAGTTCAAGTTTCTTGCTTTTCATAATACTTTTTTTCTGATGCAATTTTATATTTTCAAACATGGCGAGTTAAATATAAATTCATTTAAATATATAGTTTTGTACTTTTCTACCATGTAAATGTGCAATGTATATAAAAGTTATAATGTGTATTTGTAAATAAATGATGAGTGAAAAAAAATAAAAAGCGGAATTTTCCCTACATGCAGTCCTCAGTCTTTCATTTCAAAGGGTTCTGTCCTCCAGAGTCTTGTGCACCATGCAACAAGAGTTAAGGCAAAAGCTCTTGGCTCACACTGATATAAGAAACCCTTTTTTCAGATAGGTCTCCAGATCACTACTATTTAATTTTAAGTCTAAGGACAATGAAAGAGTAGAAGAGATTTGCTATTTTTGTTCTCCTCTCAGTCCTCCACATAAAAAGTCTGTCATTTCATAGAATCATAGAATGAGTTGGGTTGGAAGGAACCATACAGATTATCTTGTTCCAATCCCCCTGCCATGGGGAGGAGCATGTTTCATTAGACCAGGTTGCTCAAAGCCTCATCCAGCTTGGCCTTGAACAGTTCCAGAGGTAGGGCATGCACAGCTTGTCCAGGGCAACACATTCTCATGCCTAACCACCTTTACAGTAAAGAGTTTCTTCCTTATATTTAACATAAATTTCCCCTATTTCAGTTCGTACCCATTACTCCTCATCCTATCACTGTAGTTCCTCATTTTGAGTCCCTCTTTGGCTTTCCAGTAGGCCCCCTTCAAATACTAGAAGGTGCAACGAGGTCTCCACACAACCTTCTCCAGGATTAAGAGCTCCAACTTTCTCAGCCTGCCTTTGTAGGGCAGTTCTCCAGTCCACTTACATTGGCCCTCTTCTGACAGTTCCATGTCCTTCTCATGCTGGAGTCACCAGAGCTGGATGCAGCACTCCAGGTGGGGTCTCAGAAGAGCAGAACAGAGGGATAAAATTACCTACCATGTTGCTTTTGATGCAGCCCAGGATTTCATTGGCTTTCTGGGCTGTGAGCACATATTGCCAGTTCATGTTAAATTTTCATCAACCATCACCTCCAAGTCCTTCTCCTCAGGGCTGCTCTCAGTCACTTCTCCCCCCAGCCTGTAGGTGTGCCCAGGATTGCCCTGACCCAGGTGTAGGACCCCGCACTTTGCTTTGTAGAACCTCATGAGGTTTGCATTGGCCAGTCTCTCCAGCCTGTCAAGGTCCCTCTGGATGGCATCCTCTCCATCCAGTGTGTTGACTGCACACACATTTCTTGGTCCTTTTTTACTTTCATATTTCTAGGAGGTTTTGAATATGCGTTTGAATTTTTACCATACTTCAAGTCCATTTAGATGACCAGTAGAGAAAGCAAAACAGGGTCTACTTGCCCAAATTCAAGACGCAGAAAAGACAAACCAATGAACCAACCAAAAAACAAAAAAAAAACAAAAAAACAAACAATCACAAAAAAACCTGCAAACCAAAAAACAAACCAACAAGCCATCTAAGAGCACACTATCACTTAGAAATTATTTTGCTCCTAAAAGGAAGTTTAATTCAGACTTTCTTCTTTTTGGTCAACCTATATTTAGAATGGACACACCTTTAAGACTGCCTACTAATACAATGAACTGAGGAGAGGTAACCAGCGTAAGTACAGCAGGGATTAAAATCCTGTTTTATGCTACCTGGATCATACTGTTCTCACAAATAAGGCCCCACTTAAAAAAAATTCTCTATCATATTACATAAAAATTAAAAAGATACTTAAGCACTTTATTCAATATTTTAAGTCCTTGTTGAATTGAGCTCTGAGAATAGTTGATTTACCTTTTTTGTTTAAATAAAAATCATATTTAAAGGATCTTCCTGCTGTAGTCTTCTGCATATTTCCCACCGTATAGGAAACTCTAATTTGTTATGGGTTGTTTAGATTATCCAAAGTAAGCATAATTTATTAATCTCTGAATATATAAAAAATACAGGGATGTGTTTATAATATTGTATTCAAAATAATAGCAAAACAATTTTGCTCCTCATCCTCTTGTTATGTCACTTAGACAAGTAGTCTCCTTGGAAGAAAGACCATGATGAGAGGAGCAAAGGGAGTAGGACTTTGGTCTGAGGGAACAGAACTCAGAATAAAAGAGAATGGGGGCCACGAGAACAAAGGTATGGAAAAAGAATCTACTGGAAAGTCTCTCAAGGAACTAATACATGACAATGACATAGAAACAACATGTTGAATAGATATGGTGACTATCAGAGAAGATTTTTCTAAAGTTCAGTTAGGTGCCAGCTACTTCATTTCCAATAAAACAAAAACATTAAAATGCTGGGTTTAATTGTAAATATATTTACATGTCTTACAGAGAGACTATAGCATAGCAGGACTTCTGGGTTCTAATTTGCTAATTTCCAGTCTTGCTGCTGGTTGACAAAATAACTTCGGGAAATAAATTCAAAAAAGGAACAAATAGTCCAGGAAGGTATATTTACACCAGCACATACATGTACTCTAAATGGCCACAAAAATCTACGCCATGTTTTTGCTGATAAAATTATCTAAGTTCTGATACTGAATCTCTCATTACCATTGCTATTTCTATACAGCTGAAAATCTTGAAACCTATCTTGCACCAAAGACTGCTTGTGATGTGCAGGTGTGGCACCTCCTGAGAGGCTTCATGAAGTATCTTCTGGGGATGCTTAACATACATCATGAAGCCTCATCATGAAGAACAACAGCCTGAGAGACTTTCTCCCAGAAACATGTCCAGAGGTTGTGGATGCACAGCTGCCAACATTTTACATAGCATCATACTTGTAGATAAGGCACTTGCCCTTGAAGTGGGAGATACAGGTTCACTGCCAGTCTCTTTCTGAGGAGATCTTTCTCACATCTCCCAAGAGTGTATCCAGCACCAACTCAAGGTGAATCTCAGGCTGGAGAACTGTCTGTCATGCCTGCTGAAACCATACTTCTATATTGGACAGGAAGCAAGATTCATTGAGAGAGGATAATTTGCAACCCTAATAGGTGCTCCTTTTGAAGAGGAAGTCCTGGGTTATTGCCCCAGGGGCTGCCTACACATTTTGCATTTGTAATTGAGTAACATACATAAATAATGCTTGAAGCAGGGGCCAGAATCCAGGTAGCTTCCCCTCCTCCTCCCCTCAGTAGGTAATGCCTCCATCCTTGAGCTATGAAATCATGTTTAACACTCTGCTTAAATCAAGATTACAAATCACACATATTTTTCTACATTGAGTCATAGTTACAGCAGGAGTGAGAAGCTTTATTTTTTTCATCCTTTCTTCTAGTCTTGTACATGGGGAACTTCCTGGGAAGTGGAAATATGAATTTAATTCCCTCAGTCTAAAAAAGGTGCTGAATTAATTTTTCTACCTCTTAGTTTTTATTTTGTTTTATTTTGTTTTGTTTTGGGTTTTTGGTTTGTGTGTGTGTGTGTGTGTGTGTGTGTGTGTGTGTGTGTTTTGTTATCTTTTGTTCTGTTTCCTCTCTTAATGCAGAGGCTACCCTTGATGTTGTTTAAATGAAGAAACAAAGACATCTGGATGTCTAAGTACAAGAAGGTACAAGAACCTCTGAAACCTTGTGCCCAAGCTCCTAAAAGCAGAAAAGAAATACATTTTCGGAAACATCTTTATCTTCAGTATTTTCTAGTGTCTGGCATACATATTCCCCTTGCTGTAGATCACATTTCTGAAACTCATGACTCACCGTGGAGCAGACTGTGGTACTGATTCCCAGGTCTGTGAACTCCATTCAAAATGTAGGCCAAGTAACATGGAGTGGAGTGTGTATGTTTGAAAACAGAAACCCATATTCTGGCACTAAAGTAAAATCAGCATAATTCTAAGAGACTCAGCTTGAGGCATCTGAACGATAAGAATATTGCCTCTAAAACCCCAGTTCCCAAATGTATTTGTCTGCTCAACACAAGCAAACGAGCATACACAATTCTGATCACACTGAAATGCATTCCTGAGAGCTGTTGTCTTATGACAGACTTAAATACAGTATCATGGACCTCTTTTATAAGTTTTACCTCTTTGCTTGCCCCTTCTGCCTGCTAACACACCTCAAACAAAGCTACATTCTGAGCCTCTCAGCAAATTTCAAACAGCTGTAATTTATTTCTTTTTCTCTTCCCCCCCCCTTTTTTTTTTTAACATTAAAATATTTCTTTCTTTCTTTCCCTCTAAATGGGAATCAGGTGAAATTAAATTCCAGTATGCAGTGCTGTTCTCTGGGCAGTGACATTTTACTATACAATGAATCACCAGCACAGAAACATCTGTATCTTATCCCTTTGAAGAACTAGGATTCCATGCTTTCAGATGAAGCATAGAATTTGTACATAAACCAAGGCATTCACAAGGTATCAGATTTTAAATTATGAAGCATTTAAATTAACTCTCTGAAGATAAGGCAATTACATTTTTTGTTTGATATTCCTGTAATTCCAAAGCCTGCCTTACCCATTATGGCAGCATGAATTTGGCAGGTAGTATATGAAAAATAGTTTGCACAAGATAACTAATTTTTTTTTCCTGATAGACATAAATATATAATAGATCCTAGTTGCTGTATTTTGCTTACAATCATTTGGGATCATTTGTATAATTCACATTCTTTCATAACTTAACAGTGTGGCCAATGAAATTATCACACAGTGGAGAAATATAACATGAAAAAAGGTGCAAGCCATAACGTTTAGCATAGAAGAGTACTCAGGTTCATTTGCCTGTAATTTACAGGTACATTCTTTTGATCTCTTAATGTTTGAATGGATTTGTTCAACG